TACAAAGCCTTGGATGCATTTCTGTTTCATAGCAGGGGGTTTTTGAATTGATAAAATGTTTATATTTATTGTAAAAAAAAAAAAAAAAATCCTGTTAAATGAAGTCTATAAAAAAACTGTTAGCTGTGGTTGCCATGAATTCACCATGAAAATACAGTGGCAATGCTTCGGGTTTTATGGGATTCCATTTTGCCTGTATATTTTACAACTTATAAACTCATATTTAAGTGGCATAATGTTGATATACCAATCTACTTCCAAAACTTGCATGTACCTTGAAATGTGCAGAAAACCACACAGGTGGTAAAATAGTAAGCCATCCAGGGTCATACACGCAGAGACAAAACATGGGCGTCCCACACAATGGGAACACACATGACACTAAAATTATGAAAAAAAAAAACAAAACCATGAGGTAAATAATAAAAAATGTAAGACAAAATAACAAAAATACTTCAATAAAATTAAAAACAGATTCCCTCATGCAGGGAAAGTCATTTTATTGTTTTTCACTGTAAATTATAAGTGGCTCTATAACAGAAAAACCGACAAAACATAATTTTAACAATATTTAACTGTAAAAGTACCTGTATTTTTCATGTGAGTATTATAGAGAATTAAAATGTAAATAAAATGCAAATTCATACATTTACTTACAAAAACCATACATTTTTTAACTGTAAAATTACACATGCAGTGTTAAATTTATAATATAATATATATAGTAGAATCTTTTTTCTGTAAAAATCACAAACATTTTTACAGTGTACAGTACAATATAAACTGTATTGATTAAAATGCATAAATTTAATTGTTTATTGGTGGAAAATATGCCATTTTAAGATTAAAATTTGCAACAATATTGTGCGTTATCTGTAAGTTTGAATATCTCTCAACATACACTGAATAAAGTGATTCAGTAACACCTGTTAATGGATTTGATGACAAAGAGAACATTGCCACACTGAAAAAAAATGTTTCATTCATCCAATTAAAAAAAATGTAGGGTAATGATTCAAAATAAATAACTTGCCCTGAGGGCAAGTTATTTATTTTTCATTGGCTCAAGTTAAAAAATATAGATGTGAATCACCCTGAATTTTTTTAATTGGATGAATGAACCTGTATGACTTTTCCCCTTGGAATATAAAAAATAATTTTGAAAAATTTTGAGAGAATTTTGAGAAATGTCTCAGTGTTTCTTTTTTTTTTTGAAGGGATACAGTGGAAGCCAGAGGTAACCAAATTTGTTTGGTTACAAACGTTCTTCAAAATATAGGAAGAAAATCATACAGGTTTGAAACAATGTGTGGTAATTTGAGTAAACGATAACAGAAAATCTACAATATTCTGGAAATGCCTCATATTATCTTCTAGATGTGTTTGAATGTTATTGGATTTATTTCCTTCAATCATTTCTATCCACAACTCTCTCTTTTTCTAAGCTGAGTGTTTTCCATTAAGGTGATAATCACAAAAGGACATTGGAGCATCAAAAGGGGCATCATCACTGTCTGAGAGAAAATGAGAAGCTGCAGTGGACTATAAATATCCAGGGTCTACCTTATCTCTGTCATTCAGTTTTCTTTGTTGAATTACTGAAAATACCTCAAGAACAGTGCCCTCTTTTTCTCTCTGTGACTCAGGCCAACACACACACACACACACACACACACACACACACACACAGAGACAGAGTGAGATAACATCAGCCATCTTTGTATTGAGCATTTCCAAACTGCCTTTTCCCTCTCACTTGTAATTCTTCTGCAGCTATGGCGGAGCAAAGAAACTGCAGTCCCTGAGGATTACTCTGACTGTGGTGACTCAAGAACTGAATGGACCATTTTCCAGACCCAAGACTGCCCTTTCTTTAGGCTTGTTTTTTTTTTTGGCATTCAGCAAAATGATAGAGGGAAATATATTTCATAGACATTATGTCGAATTTCAGAATATGCATTCTAATTTGCAGCTGTGGTTAGAGTCTGACAGGTAAAGAAGCCATGGACTAGAAAGCATTCTTTGTCAATCTAGTTCATAAACAAACAAACAAACAAAAAATAAAAATAAATACATTTTTATATTATTATAAAAGTTTAATATTATTTTACATCAATACAATGACAGAAAGTAGAATAATAGCTCAAGGCATTTATAGTAGCTAGGATGACATGTTATGTCTAACTAAAACAACTGAACACAGATATAAAAAGACTAAAAAGACTCCCATACTTCCCAGAGAGAGCTGTCAAGATAAAAGATTAGGCTTTTAAAGTTGTTCTAAAGGCTTTTTTTTCTTAGCTTTAGCACATTTTAAATGGAGGTAGTTAATTCAACATCACAGCACTGTGTGCTGGAACAGTGTGTGGGTGCATAATCACAAGCATTTTGTGACTGTTGGCACAGCTTGACATGTTATTGCTGGGGAACTCATGAGGGTCATGGGGCTGGTCATTAGGATTGCTTCCAGATGGATCGTGGGTAGTGATGCAGTACAGTGGCGGTGTACATGGTCATTGTCATGCTCCTTCAATCTGCAAACTGACTCATTGTGTTAATCTGTGCACCACATGCACATGTTCTAGGAAGAGACACGTCAGTGTCTCTAATAATGAGTCTCATGGCTCAAACTATTCACAGAGGCAGCAGTTTAAAAAAAAAAAACACGACAAATGCTGACTTGAAGCATGAAAACTTACATTCACTTGTAGATGTTAAAATGTGCTTATCAAAGGCTTATTTTTATAAAAAAAAATTATTTAAAGTGTTTAATACCGTTGTCTGTCAACAGCATTTGAGGAACAAATTTTGATTATTAAATCCCATTGATTTGTTGAATGTTGTCTTGAAACTGGAGTATTCCTAAAATGTAATAAATATTGCAGTATATTCACAATAGCTTAATTAGCTTAATTAGTACCAAGAGCTTTAACCAGGCAGAACACACACAGATACACATAGCTTCAAATATGCCGCTACCTAATTTGCTAAACTAATTTGTCCCATAAAAACATTTTTATGTCAGTTGCTGAAGGTGATTATGGCTCGATAACTCTTTTGTTTTAACACACAGTTTTTTCTTCTTCTTCTTCTTCTTCTTCTTCTTCTTCTTCTTCTTCCCGTAGCCTATACTTACACATGTTACTTATCCATTTATCCCCATTTTCCTTCTATTCGTTTTATTTCTATTTTATTTCTTTTTGTCTTAACCTGTTAATCTGCACCCGGACACCGGCGTCCTGAAATGCGAATTTCTAAGGCCTCTAAATTATTAATATGACCAAAACTTTCCTGAAAACCTGTTGCATAGAATCTACTACATGCTTTCTGCCCTTTGATTGATAGTTCATACTTTTTTTAGTAAGTAAAAGGCTTTTTAGTATAATTCTAACAATGTCCACCTTTAGGTTATAGCCTACATGTGTCTTTTCACAGTGAAATATTTAATGATTTTTATAAAGTAAACATAAGAATAAATTTATATTGTTAGTAATATACACATTTACTGGACTGAACCAACTTATTGATTACTCATACATGTTTTTTTAAAATACATAATAAAATATATCATATATGATACATAAGGCTTTTGAGGAATGTTTATTTGTACATCTCTCAATCATCACTGTATTGCATTGCGTTATGTTGCAGAGCTTCAATAATAAAACCATGAATTTTTCATGGATGTCATCTTACTAGACATATTACTGAGAGATATACAGTGAAAACCGATACTTATATGCATTTTATATATGTAGTCTGTCTGCTATAATGTTATAAAAGTCTCATTGACTTACATTACAAGCCATAAGTATTTAATCGTACTTCCTTGCCACGTAAATAACAACAATTGCACCAAACTGCATATGTTTTGCTCAGTTTGGGTCTCTGAGAGAGATTCTTCTGACTATTATTTCATATGTCAGGCTTTACAAGGAGCACAGCCTCTTATTTTTCAGGCAAAACAATGCACTCTGGCTTGGTATACATGACTGTAAAGTCTGCAGATTTGCAGATCGGTATGCGACAAATCTCTTTTAAAGGGGTCATATGATGCGATTTCAAGTTTTCCTTTCTCTTTGGAGTGTTACAAGCTGATTGTGCATAGATAAGATCCCTGAAGTTGCAAAGACTAAAGTCTCAAAACCAAAGAGATATTCTTTATCAAAGTTAAGACTCTGCCACGCCCCCCTAAAACGGCTCATTCTAACACGCCCCCACATATCTACATCACCATGTGGAAATATTTGCATAATGCGCCCAAATGATCACGCAAAGAAAGAAGGCGTGGTTTCAGGAACAGCAGTTAGTGTTGAAGCAGCCATGTCAAGGAGACGCTGTGTGTTTCTAGGCGAAAGCAAAAGCACTTTATTTGGCCTTACGAAAGTAGATGCATTTAGGAATCTTTAAGATTACTTACAACAGAACAGCAATGCATTTTATGGACGACCGTTTCGTGAACCTAGGAGAGGAGGTAATTCTGACTTTGGGGCGTTACATTTCCGACGCGTGCTTGCGGTGTTCGGCCAATCACAATGCACTGGTTCAGCTGGCCAATCAGAGCAGACTGCGCTTGTCAAAGGAGGGGGCTTTGTAGAAAACGAAGCGTTTGAGAGAGGCGGGGCATAGAGGACTTACAATAATGTACAGTATTTGAAAAATAATGTGTTTTTTGAACATTAAAGCATGTCAACATATTCTGTTACACCAAATACACAAAATAATGATCTTTAAAAAAAGCATCATATGACCCCTTTAACATTTCACACACTCCAGTTCCATGTCTCCCCAATCCTGTAAACAAATTGCATGATTGAGCTCTATTACTCTCCAAGATGTCAATCTTAGTGAACTGACCAATAATGTTGGGGATCTCTTGCCCTTCGCTTCCTTATTGGACGACGTGTATTGAGTATGATTGGTCAGTGCAGCTCCGTCAGTAGTGTTGTGATATCGCGATATCTCAGGCATATGTTCTCTCGCTGCAGCGCTGTAGCGGGCTGAGTGTGGGTGCTTGACTGCCACTGGAGCCACCGTCTCTCTCTCTCTCTCAAGCGAAGTGCAACCTGAGATATCGAGGCTGTTTACGTTGTCTTTTAACTTTTGAAGGGCTTGCGGAACAGCGTGCTTGAATGTTTCAAAGGTGAGTGAATGCTGCTTCTCTGCGTCCTGGCGAGTATGAATCTTTTTGCTCATTCAGTTGCAGTACTAACATGTCGACAATGCAGTGCCTTTGAGTTGAGCATCAGGACTGCTAGCAGCTAGTCTCGGTCATTCTTGTTCGTTTAACTCTAAACTGCTTGAAAATCAATAAACAATCAACTCTGGTTCCCATAGCAACATGTTCCCATGCTCGTCCCTTTGACAGCATGTCCTTGCGACTGTCGGGGAATATAAAGAAGTTCCCATACCCTTGCTAATCAGTGCTACTGTGGAATAAACAGAGTTAAAGCTCACATGTGTGTGATGACAGCTCTGTAACATTGATAGAACAACAGAAACCTTTTCTCTCTGTACACGGTCTGTCAGTGTTTGTCTTGTGTGAACGTACGTGTGGTCGGACTCTCAGATGATGAATCTTTGCAGGATTGCCTCTTTTGGGAATAAATGGTTTCGTTTACAAGATACTATTAGATGTATTGATGGGTACTTTTGGTTCGACTGTCTGCTTTTCACCGAGTTGACAGCAGTAATGGACTGTTCGGAAATGTTATTGTCGCTTTTATAAGCTGAAGTGGTCCTTGGCATAGAGCAGAGTTTACATGTTGAATGAGCACATACCTGAAAATGAAATTGACCTTAATAAGTGTGTACTTGGTAATATTTTGCCAATGAAAAAATTAGACAAGAGATATAATTAAAATATGGACATATATGAGATGAACACTGTAGGCATATCAGTCTAAAAAATTGTTTTATTCCACATGTGAACATGCATCGGTCATGAGGGGACATCACATGATACATCACATTATAGAGTTGACAGAGTGACTTGTTAATAACAACAACAACAGAAATATGTTTGCTTTATTTATTACACAGCACTGTGGAATACTTGATTATGATTGGTCAGTAGTGGTCAGATATTTCCTAATATTTGCTGTCATTCACTGTATATTAGATTGCTCATCCGGGAAACTGAAACTGCTGTGTGTAAGTGATATTTTAGTATTATTTCTATAATATTATAGTGTTTATTAATATTTTGAATAAGCCTTTATTTTTATCTTTTTCAGTTGTCATTTTATGTTTAGTATTAGTTTTTTGTTATGTACTCAGTGTTTTCGTTTTTTATATACATCTGTTTCCATTTTTAAAATATCAGTTTTAATTATTTTAGTATACATTTACAACTCTCCACAAATAAGTCAATAAATGGAGACACTGTATATTAGGGCTGCACGATAAATCGCATGCGCTATTTAATGCGAATCTTGCCAGTAAAGCCGGTTCTGTAATCAGCGGTAAATCTCCATCACGTGCGTGTTTTCACATTGAGCAGCATTTACTACACAGAGCCGTTGTTCACTGACAAGCTGCGCAAAATATTATCGTGGTTTTGCGCAGCTTGTCAGTGAACAATGACTCTGTGTAGTAAATGCTGCTCCATGTGAAAGCACGCATTTGATGGAGATTTACCGCTGATTACAGAACCGGCTTTACTGGCAAGATGCCCATTAAATATCACATGCGATTTATCGTGCAGCCCTACTGTATATGAGCAATATCACACAAGTAGCGGTGCGATATGGCTGTATATCAGCACGGCTATGATTCGGCCGTAGGTAATCACAGCGTGCCGATATACAGCCATATCGCACGGCTACGAGTGTGATATTGCATTTATACAACAGTTCGACAGCATGAGTGTGTAAATGCATAACTATCTGTAAAAACCCTCTTTGTGTGAACTACTTCCTAGTAGGGCTGTGTATCACCAGCAAAGTCACGATACGATACGTATCACGATACAGAGGCCACGGTACGATACGTATCACGATAAGGGACTGCACTGAATTTCACCTCAGCAGAATTTAGAAAAACAGCTGTTTATTAAACACTGCTTACTATAGTGCCATTTCTAACTATTGGCAGAGCAGGCAGTTGACCTCTGCATTATGAAGGGCCTCCATAACTGTACCACAGTACAATATAGGTAATGGCATATGTTTCATGTTTACATTGTACACAGCCTCTCGCTCTCTCTCTCTCTCTCTCTCTGTGTCGTAAATGAACAGTTGATGAATTACACTTTTCTGAGAATAGAATATTGAAGTGGAGATCGCTAAACTGCAAGCTAACCAGTGTTTTCAGAAAGCAAGCGCGTTTAACCACAGTGGAGAGAGAGCGCGTGTGAACAGGGTTGCCAGGTTGACAAAGATAAGTAGCACACTTAGCAGATATTTCCGTATTGCGCAAGTGTAAAGCTCTGTTTTGGGGATTACGTTTCTTTATATCAGGCAACCCAGTTGTGTTCCTCTGCGGCCAGATTAAACCTTGTTGTAGCCTATATATTATGCTCTATTCATTATTTTTTAGAAACCTCGCACTTTTCTACTAAATTTTAAACGTTGTAAAATTTTAAACAAATTAAGCATGGTCCACTGCTGCACACGTGCCACAATATCGATACAGGGCCAGCTGTATCGATACTCGTATCGTCAAATCTCTGTGACGATACATCGTCGTATCGATATTTTGAACACAGCACTACTTCCTAGGCAATTCAGTCAAAAGTACAAAGGCAGCGCTCCAATATACAGCATTAAAGTTAAATATAACGTGATGAGATTTTGCCCTCAGCCAAAACTATTTGCTCTGGAACAAATAGGCCTATCGCAATAATCAATATATCGACTTATCGCGCAATATATGTACATGACCTCAATAATTTTTGGTGATGAAATATATCGCCCATTATATTTACTTAAAAATTAATGTCACCATGTTTTGTACATTCCACTTGCGCCTGTGTCTTTTGCAGCTTCTCGTACATAATGTGGTGTAGTCATGAGGTGCTGGTTCAAATGTTAAAAATGCTTCTACAAAAAAAAGTTTCATCTGCAGTAGGGCTGTGCAAAAAATTGAATGCGATTTTCATGCGCATCTCGTCAGTAAAGCCGCTCCTGTGATTAGTAGTAAATCTCCAGCACGTGCTTTCAGATGGAGCGGCATTTACTACACAGAATTGCGTTCAAAATCGCAGGCGATTCATTGCCGATTTTGAACGCGATTTTGTGTAGCTTGTCAGTGAACTACGGCTCTGCCTGTGTCTTTTGCAGCTTCTCGTACATAACGTGGTGTAGTCATGAGGTGCTAGTTCACATTTAAAACAAGTTTCATCTGCAGATATGGTCTTGTTTAGGGATCTGTGCCTTTGTGCATACGGACATCTGACTGATAAGTAGTGATTGTGTTTTTCAGCAATAGTGTGCACCCTTAATTTACAGAGAAAGGAAAGTCAGGGAAAAATCTGTAGATGGAAAAATCTCCATACATGTTCTTTGTGCATTTTTCTTTTTTTCTACTTGTTACTTTGCAATTTTTGTTAAAACATTTTTATTTACTATTTATTCAGGTTTTTTAATGTATCTAATATTTTGATGCTTAATTTCCATGATCTAAATATTCTTAAATTTTTTTTTTTAAAGTTTGTTGTCATTTGGAAGTGTGTAGGCCTTCTTGCATTATTATGCTGTTACATTATGATTATATATTCAGTGGCATAAAATGGTCTTTAAAATGACAATAATATCGCTTATCGCAATTATTTCTGGGGCAATATATCGCACAACAAAAAGTTGTTATCGTGACAGGCCTATCCGTTGACTCTTCCATCTCTTCTGTGTCCCCTGCTGCAGACAGCACATCACACACAGAGTGCTGGGAAATTCACTCAAGCGTCCAATGATAAATGTATTTAATACACGAGTTTCACAATTTGAGTTGGATTACTGAAATAAATGAACTTTTCCATGACATTCTAATTTATTGAGATGCACCTGTATGTATGTTTTCACTTTAAAAAAATATTTTTTTAGATCTCTCTGTTTTTTCCTTTTTTGGAAAGTCAAGGAAATGCAATAGTAGATTTCTTTTTACTTTGGCTGTTGGAGGAAATGAGAATAATAATATTTGCTGTAATCTCCCATGTACATTTTATGAAATTTAGCCTGCTATAGTTTGCTTCCACGTTTCAACCTGGAAATGTGAAAAGGGTCCATAAAGTGCAAAACCGTTTGGTTGAAAGATGTCAGATGTTGTAGTGAAGGACTTCCATATCAAGAAACTTTATGAATGGTTCTCTGTGCATCCTTTCAGATTGTCAGTAAATTAGCTAGCACCCAATTTTGAGTATGCATGATTATTTGTGCATGGCAGACACCTGGACCAGTAACAAATTGGCTTGGTATGGGCTTTACATTAGCTAAGTGCTATCTGAAGTGACTACATGAGTCGATTATAGTTTCAGGGATCAGGTGTTCAAAGGACACAGCGGAGTCATCATATTTGAGCTGTGTGGAATTGGCATCTGATAGCCTCACTTTTAGAAAACTGTCCAGTCCAGTATAATTCGGAAGGCCAAATAAAGTGCTTTTGCTTTCGCCTAGAAACACACAGCGTCTCCCTGACATGGCTGCTTCAACACTAACTGCGGTTACTGAAACCATGCCTTCTTTCTTTGCGTGCACATTTGGGCGGCATTATGCTAATATTTCCACATAGTGATGTAGATATGTGGGGGCGTGTTAGAATGAGCCGTTTTAGGGGGGCGTGGCAGAGTCTTAACTTTGATAAAGAATATCTCTTTGGTTTTGAGACTTTAGTCTTTGCAACTTCAGGGATCTTATCTATGCACAATCAGCTTGTAACACTCCAAAGAGAAAGGAAAACTTGAAATCGCATCATATGACCCCTTTAAGAAAAAAAATAAATAATAATTTTATTTCACAATACAACTGTAATTTAAACAACTAGTAGTTTTGTTGTCTTATATTTTCCTTTTGTTTTTAAATATTAAACCATCAAGCTTTTATTTTGGCAGAAAACCACAGGGAGTCCTTTATAGCTTCTCTTTTTTGACAACAGCTGGTTTATAAATATTTCTTAGTACAAGTTTGGGAAGTTGGTTGGCGCATGTTG